CTAAGAAAATTGAAAAAAAAAAAAAAAAAAAAAAAAAAAAGGGAGCAGAGTACAGAGGTGGTGGCTAGCCAGATGGGCCAGGGACCACATGCACTCCCCAGCCCCAACCAGGACTGGGCATCCTATCCTGATGTTGGACAGAGCTAAGGTTACAAATTCTCCTATTGTTGTCACTGCATCACAACAATCTGGACGTTAGATAACATCACCCCTATTTTTACGGCTGGAAAAATCGAGGTCGAAGAGGTGGAACAACTTGCTTCAGGTTAGAAACAGGACTCACATGTGGGTCTGAAGTCAGTGGAGCAGGCACTGCCCACTAGACCAGGACATTGCATTTGGAGCAGCAGCCCTAGGTGCCACCAGGCCTCAGGCAGGGTAATGACAGCCCAAGATCGGGGAGCAAGCCTAGGTGTGGGCTCAGGGCCAAGAGCTCCCCGGGAAGAGTGGGGCAAGCTCTGCCCAGGGAAGTCATTTTAGCCCTGGAAGCCCAGCAGTGGCTCCATGCTGGTGGGTACCTGGGGGAGTCCATCATCCTAGTCACTAAGAAGAGTACCCTGAGATGGGGAAGAGACCTGGCTGACCACAGTGAGCATCAAGTGGCCGCGGCCTTCCTGTCTCCTCGTCCTCCAGGTTCCTGGGGGGGGGCGGGCAGGAAGTGAGGTTTCTATCAGAGTGAGGCAGGGGCAGACCCAGGAACACTGCCAGGAGCCCCCTCCTCCAGTCAGGCTGTGAGCTCCAGGCCTTCCTCTGCGGTTGGCTTCCTCCAAGCCCTCTGGGCCTTTGCCTCCAGCTGGCTCTGCCTGGCCCTGCCCATAGGGAAGGTTCCAGCCCTCCTGTCGCAGACCATGATGGGTTCCTTCCAGCTTTACTCCATCTCTCCTCCCTTCCTGAACCCATTACCCTCCTGGTCAAAAGAACTTCTACTCCAATGAACCCTCCTTGTCACAGCCCCAAGCTGTGCAGTCTAAAGAGGTCACACAGCCCTAGGCCCTGTGGAAGCTGAAAATGGGGTGGGGGGAGACAGCCAGTATGAGGGTTACGTGTGCAAGACTCCTCCAGACGGTTGCATGCGTACATTCAGCCAAGTGGGGTGTAAGATGTGCTTGCCTGTGTGGACGTGAGCAGAGGTGCAGCTGGGGGGAGGGGAGACAAGCCGTTGGCTCCCTAAGGTGAAGGGCTCCTGCCAGAGACCCCAAGACATCTTCTTAATAGACTCGAGGGGTTCCTTCCCTTTGAAGGGTAATGTGACGGATTCTTGTGGGTTTGGGGGGCAGCATGGTGCCTTATCTATGCCAATTACAGGAGCTGGACTCCAATACAGACCATGGGGTTATAGGGCAGGCGTCCCAGACCCTCCAAGCAAGTGGGTTATCTCCAGGCTGCAACCCTCCCTGGGTGGGGGTCAGGATGGGCAGGGGGCTCCACAAGCTTGCTCTTGTGCTCCAGCTCACCCACGTAGCTTCCTGAGTGTCACTGCGGAGGTGCAGTGCCCTTCGTGTGGGCGGCCCGCCACAGCTCTCCCTGCCAGCGCGAGCCACTGCCTGTGCCCCTTGCTCTCTAAAGTTAGTCATCCTCACACTCCCGGACACTCCTGGGGCAGCTCCCAGACTTTGACCCCTCTCAGCATGAGGCCCCATGGCCCCATGCCCAGGAGGCAATGAGAAAGCAAAGGGGAGGCCCCACCGTTTCCTGTCTCTGTAACTAGCAAGTCTTCAGCCTCAGTTTCCTCATCCGTAGAACAGAGGTGGTGATACCTGCAGTGGGGCGGCTAGTGGACGTGTAGGTTCAGCCCTGCGTGGTCGTATACCCGGCACTGAAGTGGTAGCGTTCTTTTTATGACCCTGGGAGAGTGCAAGTAGCACAGAGAAGGAGGCGTCCCCCCCTCGCCCTGCCCGTGCAACAGGATACCGACTCAGGCAGCTCCGAGCAGGACAGACGCGTGGCCAAGTAAAGGAAGTGAGGCCCTGTACCTGCTGACCCCGCCCTTCTTGGGACGCCTCTCCAAGCAGAAGCCTTAAGAAATGATTCCTTGTTCACTTCCCTTTTATGTCTTTCACTTTCTGGTCAGAGACTTGGCCAACAGGCATCCCATGAAAACCTCTAAATGGTGGACAGGTTTTTGTTGAGGGGCGACATCCTGCCACCGCCTCGTAAAACTGCTAGGCCATTCGCGGCTAGGCTGTGTGTGTGTGTGTGTGTGTGTGTGTGTGTTCGTGCAAGTGTGAGTATGCAATGTGTTCCGGGCGTGTCAGGGTGTGTACGTGTTTAGGGGAGTGTGTAAGAGCTTGTCTGTGTGCCTCTCTCTGGGTGGGAAATGGGAAGATCTTGTCTCACTGAATCTCTGTGTTGCTGGAAAGAACAGCTATGCAGGCGGGGTCCAAGGCCCCAGCCCGGGCCCTCGGAGTGGCACCTGCAGGGTCTCCCTGTTCCCTGTTTGAACCAGGGTCAATACGGTGTCACGGACTCAGCAGCTGACCCTGACTCTGCCCTGTCCTTTGCTGTTCTAGCGCCCAGCTCACTTCCTGGCACACAGCAAGCACTCAATAAACGTATGCTGAGAATGGCTAGGAACGGCTTCCTCCTTGGCGTCTGGGTCTGTTCTCCCTCCCCCTCCCCCTCCCCCCCACCCCCACACACACCCTGCTCATCTGCATCTGGTTTGGCCCCCTGCACTACCATTCAAGAAGGTGGGGAGGGGTAGGGGCCTCAGGCTGGGACACCTGCAGTGAATTCTGGCTCTAAAGGGATCCTCTTTTGTCCCAAGGTGGTGGTCGTGGGCCTGTCTGCTCCTTCTGCAGTTTTCCTACCAGGATAGCCACCCTCCTGCCAGGGTCCTGGGCAGTGGCACGGGAGGGTGAGACCCACTGGGTCACTGGCTATGTGTGGAGTCTGCTTAATCCCAACAGAGATGCTTACCTGGCTGGGGAGGAGAGGGGGCTGCCTGGTCCCTGACCCTGCTGGGGTGGAGGGGCCCTGAGGCCCAGGAGAGGGTGTGGTTGGCCTGGGAGCCTGCTCAGGAAGGGATGAGCAGTGGGCCCCCTGCACAACAACCAGGGCAGAGACAGACTGGATGGGCGTGCGTGGTGGCTGCCCCTACTTAACTCTGCAAACTCAAAAGGCTGGCTCTGCGGCTTCCCTGTGGCATTCCCTTCCGTGTGCCGCCTTCCCTTTTCCTTTCCAGAGGCAGCACAGAGAGACAGTTCTCCGACAGACGCTGTGCAGTGTCACGGGGGCAGCTAGACTTCGACCTCCGTGTCGGGGACACCGGAGGACACTCCAGGATGGGGGGGATCTGGAGGCCACAGCCTTCCTCTAAGGATGCCGTCACATGGCTCCAACCCTTGTCTTGTGGCAAGGAGCCCAGTGTCGCCAGATCTGATATTTTCAAGAGAAGTTGGAAATCTGAGTTTTATATAAAATATCCCCATTTTTAAATGTTGGCTCAGAAGAATTTTTAAAAAATGTATCGCAGATGCTCAAATCATTTTTAACCCAACGTAGGCCAAAGACTGAAAGGTAGGGAGCGAGAAGAGGAGGAGGTGAAGGGCCTCCTCACCCCTTTCGGGTGCCTGAAGCATCTGCTGTTTTATTTCTTCAGCTCCAGCAGGGATTCCTGTCTTCCCCCTGGGCTGGGAACTTTTTACTTTCATTTCCCCCAGCCTGGCTCATAATGAAAGCTGTGGAGTGATCAAAGGGGTTAACCACTAGTTTCTTTCCTTTTTTCCCCCTAAGTTTCTTTCTTTCTTCCAAGAGAGATTGGGAGACAGCACCCCCACAGTCCTCACACCACAGTGCGCGCCCAGGCCCAGCCAGCCTGGGTCACAGACATGCACGTGCCCAGTTGTTCAGGGAGGCCTCCACATGAGAACCTGGAACCTTCCCTGGGGGTCAGCCCTGTGCTGCTGCTGTGCCACCATCCGGCCCTTAACCTAATTTCTCGAGTGGCCCACAGTTGCTATTTAGGGACTAGGATTTGTCAGGCGACGCTCAGAGCAGAGCCAGCTCACCCTCACAGACCCGAGTCCTTGCCCCCAGCCTGGCTGGGCCTGGCTGACACTCCTCTACCCAGGGGGACCAGCTGGGCAGCCGTGTTGGTCTGCTCTTTTGCGCGGTCTGTCTTTTGTTGAACAGACTTTCCTTGAAGGCTGGCACATGCAATGCTGCCATCAGCGCTACACCGCCGTGCCTACAGCAGTGTTTTGCATGAATAGCTGGGGAATAAATATTTGGGGAGTGAAATTTAAAAAGAGAGAGGGAGCCAGGCCGTGGCTTGGTGGTTAAGGTGGCTGGGCCCCACTTAGCCAACTATGTGGTTCATTCAAGTCCCAAGCCCGGAAGCTTGAAAAACAAACTGGGGTTGTGCGTGCCCAAAATCCTTAAAGGTGGGAGAGACAGA